AAAGTATGTTCTAGCTCCCCGAAGGATTTGCATCTCGGATTCAACTTGAAACACTCTCATCAGGGGTCCTTTGAGGATCGAATGCGGAAGTGTGACGGGCATGATTAGCCATGGGATCCCTTTTACACTCACACGCAGTCAAGCGGATTGAAAGAAGCTGAAATGATTAGTATACCTGTGGTTTGTGATCTAGCAAACCCTACTCGTTCAATAGCTCCCTCTTCCTGCCGCCCCTCCTCTACGATTTTTACACTGCGCGCTTGACCCTGAAAAGAACATTAATGACGTGGAAACTCGTCATTACCCTTGTAAGTGTAATAGTTCACTGCCTATTGTTCTTGTGACAAACACTGCAAATAGGTGATCATGCTATCCCAAATATTGGGATAGTGACTAATCAGGCCAAAAGCTGCGAAATTATGGGAGAACTAGAGACATCTAAGTCGATCTCACGTTCTTGCCGTCTCAGTTCTGAGCTTCAGTTGGTTTTGTTACTATGTACTAGGGAGACAATGAGGAGAAATCAAGTGTGAAGTAGTCCAGTGGGCGATATTGATCGATGATCGTTCCTTGTACCCAGTTACATCAGTTACCGGGGTAATTTGGCGTGCCATTATTTGGGGACTTACTGTTAATCACGGAACGGTAACATGGATTGTATCGTACGTAATTGCGATCAAAGCACAGTTAAGGGAACACTCAACCAGCACGGTTCCCACTACCTCAGGCAAACTAGAAACACGGTTTAGGTGGATAGTAACTGACAGTAAATGATTTCCGGCGCTATTCTAGTTAGGAGGACCACGGCCCGGGTTGCAGAACTGCCACCGCTTGATCTCTCGCTGCGAGGGTACAGAGGTATTTTTTTCACCTCATCTTTTGGTTGAGCATTTGGACGGAGCAAAAGGAGAAGAGTAAAGAGAAGGACGGAAGGAAAACAGTGAAGAAGGATGAAAAAACGAAGGAGGAAGGAGGATCTGTAGGTGACAGTTACTGGCCTGCTTCTCCTTTCTCTTCCCCTAATCGAGGCTTAGCCTTGCGAAGACTAATTCTTCTTCGAGACGGTCCCTCGCACATCTCTGGTGTTCTTGCTGTCTTGAGGTAACCTTTTTGCGGGAAAGAATGCAAGGGCGCAGTCGAATATTCTCGCTCTCCTCCTGCCCGAATCGTATCAGCGCCTGATTTTTCACGCCTGGCGGAGGGTGCGAGCCATTAGAGCACTTCTTCAACTGGACCCAGCACGTCATCCCTTTCATCTGCCCTCTCATCAGATGAGCATGACATTCGCCCAGATTGTTGGCTCAGTCGAGCACGAGTTACGACATGTGGTCTCAATTAGCCACATTTGTAGTAGAAGTTCACTCTTATGGGCCTTGTTTGCTCTTGCACTCTCCACGGCGGGCGATTGACGGGGCCTTTTCGCGTGCCGAACATGACCACAGCTGACCTCGTTGCTAGAAAGGGCCCTTCGCGGGCTTTGTGCCATATTTACTTTGTATTAAGATAGTAATGATTTATGCGTTCCCACACAGTTCTGTTCTGCGACATGCTACAGCACTGTGTTCTGGGAACTGCCCTTGTCGTTCATAATAAATTTCAACATTAGATAGAAATTCACTTCAGCTGACTCTGAGGCTTGAATCTGCTGACGGTGACCAGAGACAGGTATGTATGTGAGAGGCCTTTCATGTTGTTTCCCGCTGTTTTCGTACAATTTTCTACAGATTAATACTAATATTTATTGATGGAGATATTTTTATATTGGCCATTTGTGCTACACGAATAGATGGTACGTATTATCATCGAGGGGCTGTTGAAAATCTAATTGACAGGGAAGCGTGCTAATATTCAGCAATAAATCAATAACATCTTTCTCTCCTAAGGAAATAGAAAAGCATCCGATTGATGGAAATGACATGAATATTCCAAAAATAAAACAATAACCGCTGGTCCAAGGAAATGACAAATATCAAGGAATTGTAATTCTGACATTGTACCATGTGTAGTGGTATACTACGTCTGCATTTTGTCGTAAATTCATAACTTTTTGCACAAAATTGTGATTATAATTAGTGTGGAACTCTTATGATTCTACTGAGATTGAACTTTTTGTTTCGTCTCGCGTTGTTCATAGTACGATAAGCTCTGTTTGTGCAATAATACGTGATCGATCATGCTTACCAGTCAGCTTTCACACCCGTTACTACTTCCTTGATGACGAAATTTCTCATACTTTTCATGCACTCTTATCTTCTTCCTTTTCATTTCCATCACTCGCAATATTGTTAGCTTCCAATGTTGCTGGGTGCCTGTTTGTCAGTTCCTGGCTGATTCAGTTTTTGTCAAAACAGGATCTTATTACTGGTACTACTCATGTAGTTTTGTCGAGTAATCTGGTTCCCTTTCCTGCTTCTTTGATATTTCCCTTTTTCATTGTTATTGGAGGAGTAATGAACAATTGCTGAATGAGGTTTTACGGTCGCGTGTGGGTAGGCTTGTGATGGAGTAGGACCCATCAATGTCCTGTCATGCCAATTACATCCCCTGAGGGATATCCCTCGAGCACTTGCTTTTTTGGCTTAGTCCTCCTAGCCTCGTTGTGGCGCTGGGCGTCTCCATGCCATTTCTCCGCCTCAAATTCTTTGAATCACCGCCCATCGTGGATTGCATCAGCGCACTCCCTTCTCTCCACCACCATCACCACCCCTCCCACCTCGGGTACCCGCCCATAACCCCGCACAACTCACTTTAACATATTGTCTGACTGTCCGTCCATGTAAATTACTGCTCAATAACTAACTATGAATGATCAACAAAATCCTCATCATGAGGTGAATGCCTTTCAATATGAGGTAATTCTTCGCCGTTGTTTTCGTATGAAGTACTTTTAATGTGTACTATGTTGTTGTATCAGGATATGGACGGACGTGCTGGGGCTGAAGAAGCCCCAGGTCCCCTACCCGATATGCGGGCAATGAGCCTCAAAAGAAATATACGTCGTTTGGACTCGATTGTACCGACGGCTGGCCGAGAAGGTGCCGACATCCAATTCAACCTCTATAAGGGCCGTGGAGTTGCAGTGTTCACATCTGGAGGTGACTCTCAAGGTAAAAAGGTTCTTGAGATTACCAGTTCTCATGAAGTAGTGTTCTGCAACGGGTATCTCATAGGAATGAACAGCGCTGTACGATCGGTAGTTCGTATGGGTATATATCTCGGCTGTAAAGTGTTCTTTATCAATGAGGGTTACCAAGGAATGGTCGATGGAGGTGACAATATCGTCGAAGCGAGCTGGAACTCCGTGTCTGACATCATTCAGAAAGTCTGTCGTTTCATATAATCAGATTTTTTACTCGTTATTTTGAAGAGCTCTATTGAAAACTATCTTCACGAGGATAATTACAGGGTGGAACAATTATTGGTTCAGCGCGCTGTAACGATTTTCGGCAACGAGAAGGTCGACTAAAGGTAAATGGTAGCACTTTTTTCGCATAGTTTATCAGTATTGAGTTTGTTTGTGTAGTTTTGACCATGAACTATGACCTTTTAAACTTTCATATCAATGACGTTAATGGTAAATCTCTTCTCTCTCTCTCTCTCTCTCGCATATTTTCTCATGATAGCGATTTTGATTTGTGTGAAGGGGGGCCGTTGTCTTTTGTGTCAGTTGTGATGAGCAGATGTTTCGGTGAAAAAGAAGCCAAGAGGCGAAGCAAATCGAGTTCCTTGTGCTCTTTTCGTAGAACTC